TTCACAACTACCAATATTTACTAGTCGACTAGTTTTTCAAAATAGTAGTCGACTAGTCGTTACGTCATAATAAAGACACACAAAGAGAGGTTTACAACTGTATTTTCTATTGGAACTCATACAGTAACATTAAACACTGCATTTTAATTTGTGTTACATGGCTGAGTAAATAACAAACAGTAACTGGACTCACCAAAATCGACAGCAAAAAACTCTTGTTTACATAAATGCCACGTAAATACAGTGCGCAACAGCGCATTGCGCAACACTTTATTCGCTGTCCTCCACGATAACGTCCACCTTTCCATATTTTTGGTTTGAACACCAACGCATCGACATGTGAGGGAAGGAGGCTTGACCGCTTTCGGGTGACAGTGTTGCCTGCCAGGGAAAAACACAACTGACACTTCACTGTGGAGTTGGTTACATCTTCGTTGAAGTACTGCCATACATAAGAATGTCGGACGTGTTTTGTAGCATTTTGCAGCACCTCGTTTACCTCCATTTTTTTCACGACTAGTCGACTAGGGCCTACAGCACCGAATAGTGGTAAAGGTAGTCGACTAGTCGACTAGTCGATTAGTTGGTGAAACCCTGTGTGTGTGTGTGTGTGTGTGTGTGTGTGTGTGCGCGCAACTCAAGGCATATGCTCGAACGGGAGCTGCCTGGAAGCTGCAATCATGTTGCGCACACTATCCGTGCTGAGTGTGCTGACTTTTCGTACAATGTCCCACTGTCTGGCTGCCTGCATAAAGTCAAGTGCTCGGCGCAGTTGTGGCGAAATGTCGCTCCACATGCGTTAATTGCGTTAACATAATTAGTGGCGTTATTTATTTTTTGCGTTAACGCGTTATTAACGCGTTAACTTGACAGCCCTAGTATAAATACTTTATTACTTATCGGATCTGCACAAACAAGATATTAGCTACAGTAGCAAGATGAGATTCCACAGATTTTAGAGGTATTAGTATCATCATTGTGCGACACAGACATCACAACACGGAGCTTTACAGAGTAAACACGGGAGAAATGTCTTACCTTTTACTCTTTCTGATCAAAAGTTGTGTTCAATGGCATTAAAACGAGAAAAACACGGCTGAAGGTTAATCCATAGGTTAATCCATAGGTTAATCCAATGTGTCTGTCACTTTGAAATGATTACTGATAATCCATAATTCAATTTTTATGTCAAAAACTGAGTTTTCATATTAGCTGCTATGATAGCTTCCAGAGTGTATTACAGCTTCCTCTTTTGGGTATTCTGGCTACGCATCACTCTCACTCCTTATTTGGATTCTATTGGCTCTGACGGTTAAAAAGAGATGTCAATCATCAAAATCGACCAAGGGGGGCCGGAGATATGGAAAATCCACCCAAATTACCCCAGAAGTGTTTTTCTTTTGCTAAACTGCTCTAAAAAGGTCAAATATCACTTGTTTTGCATTAATCTTGATACAGGGTACTTATTATATGTTGTAGTTTGGATTCATAAAGCTTTTAGTCTACTATTCCTTCATTCAAGGGTGGTTTTCACTATAAGTAATGTTTTTTTTTTTGGACGGACAATATAATTTACGTAAAAGAAAATGTATATTGATTCAGACTTTTCTACATCCAACTCACAGGTATATCATTGCTTTGAGAATAAATATGATTAATTTACCCCTTTTTATAAGTGAAGTTATAGTCATTTGTTCTGGGAATGTCATTTTCGAGCCTGAGACCTGGAAAAAAGACTCGGGGCTTAACAGGTTAAAAGACACAGAGAGCTGGAAGTCATGTTTTATCTGTGTAAAAATAATCTAATAAAAAGTCAAACAAGATTATCAACAGCATACCTTTAATTCGGACGAGAGAAAATGTATTATAGGTTTGAAAATGCCATAGAGACCCCACAAAGTCCCAACAAATGACATTTGTTTGTATCAAGTAGCAGAGCCCTTTGGCATGAATGTGAATTGGACCCCAGAATAGTGTGAATTGTTATTTCAACCCCCTGTAACTCTTACCAGATTGTCAGAAATGGATATTTGGAAAATTAAATGGACGTAGAACAACCAGAAATATTGTCTCTGAGTAATGGCAATCAATAATTTCTTACCATCACGCATTGTTTTCAAGTTAAAGCAACACTATTGCAATATTTTGTACCAAAAAATGCATATAGAATTTCTACGGACTCTAAAAAGTGTTTATTAAGAAGCATTTTCAATTGAAGCATTTTTTTTTTGCTTTTCAAGAGACGCAGAGGGGCAACAATCCATGAGTTGAGTGAAAGTAATAGGTTTATTGTTTACAGTACATCACAACACAGGCGACCACAACATACTTTTATATATTAATTAGAGAAAATACACTCAAGTTAATATTATGTAGCATTTTTGATATTTTTTATGAACAGTTAATCAGAAAACATCCTTTTGCGGGGCCTCGCTAAGAGTCTTCTACATAGATCTCGATTGAGTAAAATAGAGTAGAAGTCAGCTATCTTGTTGTCAGGTTTGCCTTAGCATACTTGCAGATAATGCATCTTAATTGGTGCCATGGCAACATCTAATAATTTGGTTGCTGTATGACATCATTCAAATTCCAATTTGGAAGTCTATAGCGAAGTCCAGTTTGTGTTTTAAAGCAAAACACAAATTAGCAGTTGCTAACACATTTTCCTATCTATCCTATCTAGTCATCTTAAAACATGGCCTCCGACATTGACCTGCAAAATCAGGGTAGCATTGATGTTATCAAAGCTGAGCATCAAGCTGCACTTTCTGGGCAGAGAGAGCTCCAAGCCCAGATTAAGGAGGCGCATTTAGCGATCCACAGCTATACTGCTACAGAGGAAATGCTCATTGCAATGAAAAGGGAAACAGAGGAAACCATCAAGGAAAATGTTTCCCTTGAGAAAGAACTTAAGTGTCTCAAGGAAAGGCACAATCACCTTCAGGTAATCAAGGAACTTTACCAGCTGGCAAAGGCAGAGAAGCAGACGGTTTGCCAGCAGAACGAGGCTCTGCTGCAGGAAGTTATGGATCTCTGCAAGAAGCTTGAAAATGAAAGCATAGTGCAGAATGAGATGGACGCAATGAATGTGTCAATAAACGAGGGAAACCGCCAAACTGACATCTTGCAAATGCATATCTTTGAGCTTGCGCAGAGGCTTCTGCGTTTAGAGGATCTGCAGACGTCATACAACATTGCGATGGCAGAAAAGGAGTTGATTTCCCAAAAAAATCAGTTCTTGCGACAAAAGAAAGGGGAGTTCTCCCGAGACCTTGAAAATGAGCAAACCATTAAGGTGAAGTATGAGACCTTGAATGCATCCAACAAAGCCCAAAGGCTTGATAATGACACCATGAAAAAAATGCTCGCTGAGGCCCAGAAGAAACTTGTTCGTGAAGCTGACTGGCAGCAGAAATACATCATGGCGGGTCATCGGAGAGACGGCTTGGAGAGAGAGCATAACAAACTGAGTGAAGACGTCCAGCTTTTCCAGGTCAAGCTCACATCTCAGGGGGAGTTGAAGAAGAGTTATACAACCATGGAGGCTGCGAGAAAAACTCTTACCAGCGAGAACATCACCCTGCGGAAAAGGCTGAACGGCCTTCAGAAAAAGTGTACTGCCGATGAGCACCTACAGGAAAAAGTCACCGCGGTTCAGGCTTCAAACAGGGGTCTCGAGCGCCAGGTCCGAGAACACCAGGACCAAATTAAAACTGTCACGGACATGCTGGGACTGTACGACTCCCTGCAGGAAAGAAACAAGGGCTTGAATCGGGAGAATGTCACCCTTCTTGATGACCTCCTTGAGCTAATGAAAACAGTTCAGGAGAAAAGAGCTCAGCAGGCCAAGAGATAAATGCCACAGACTGAAGTTCATTAAGTGTCATTGGCCTACCAGGTTTTCTCCAGGAGCACCGGGTTTTCCAACATTCAACATTTCATAAGGTGATTTTAAAAAAAAAACTAAACATTAAAATTGTTACGACCCCCTCCACTCCACTAGGGGTCTCAGTGTTTGCGTTCTGCTTGCTGGCTCTAATTTGTGTTACAGGTGTTCAAGTCATCAACCTGTTGAGCCACACCTGGGTGGCTGGAGATAAAAGGCCAGCACCATCCCATACTGCCCGATCTCACTCTGCTGTTGGACACCACTGCTTACTTACTGACGCACACATTACTGATAACTGACTTCCACATTTGTCCTTTAGTTTTGTTATATTTTAAATAAATATGCTTTTTTTACACTTTAACTTGCCTGGTCTCCCATCTTTGATGAAGCCTATGAGCCGGGCTGTAACAAACATCTCTTGCCATGACATTAGGGGTAACTTCAATTTTCAGCAAACGCATGAATCATAATTTATTTTATGTACATATATTGAGTCTCTGTCGGTTTGTCTCTCTTGAATCATGCAGTGTCAAATGTTGTGTTTAAAAAGTAGAAAAAACAAACCAAATAATGTTTTATAAACTTCAAACTTCATGACTCTTCTCTGATAATTTCTTCTAAAAATAATTTTCTGAAAATAAGTAAAAAGATAATAAGTCTATCTTATCTCTTATTGGCATATAATACCATACTGCACATACAATATCATTTTAGGCATTAAATAATTCATTATTTAAATTTGTTTACCGTTGTTAAACTGTCACTGTCCAGTCGCATTACTTGACTCGGTTACGGGCCAGAAAATCTACTTCGTAAAGCAGACTATTTGTTCTTAGCGTAAGCAATACAATCATTTTTAAATATATGAAATCATGTTTTAAATCAATATGTTGTGTTTAATGCATCCTTATTGTTCATAACACAATTTTTATTAGATTTTTTGATATTTAGTTTATGTACAGTAGCTTATATGTTAAGCAAGCAAACAAATATATGGTGTAGAAAGTCATTAATACAACAGGTATTCTTCATGTTCTGTCCTCACGATCCAAACCGAAATGCGCAATAATTTGTCATTCTTGACATTTTAAAATATAAAATCAGGGAGGGGAGTGCGGAGAGAGAGAGAGAGAGAGAGAGAGGTTGTTGTATTGAAAATATTCAGGAGAATATTTGTCATTGTTCCAATGATAATAAACAAAAATTGCATAAAGCATATTTGTCCACTCATATGTTTATAAGTGTATTAAAAACTTGAAAAATATCCCTCTAAGGTACATTTAGAACAGATACAAAATGTGCGGTTAATTTGGACATCATGCGATTAATCGCGGTTAAATATTTTTAATCGACTGACAGCCGTAGAAAATATACAGTATAAGTTAGAAAACTATATATACTGCCATTCTCCTACTAAAATAAAACATGTACTAATATTGGATGCTCTATCTTTTAAATAAAAATGTAAATGCAGTGATGTAGTGTGAGTACAATCTGGTCAATTTTCAGGATTATTTAAAGGGGTACATTTATGAAACTATGAAGCAGGAAGTTCTCTCTTTCCCAGAGCTGAGGTGTTATAGACTGATTATCTCAAAGATATTACAAAATCTTGAGAACCACAAAAGCCGCACAACAATCAAAAGTACCGGTACACAAATTAGGATGTATGTGCTGAATTAATGTTTTTGTTTAGTAACTCTGATCTTCTGCTCACTGATTTTCAGAAACAGGGTCCAGAGGGTACACTGAGGGTGGTTGTCATCCAGGAAAGGAGGCTCCATCTCGGGGTCCACAATGGCTGGTGTTTCTTGGACAAGCCCCAAGTGGTGGTGCTGGAGCCCCTAGCCAGAAGCCGATCAGACAGCAGCTCCAAACAGAGCAGCCTGGTGAAGGACAGGTGAGCAGAGGAAACACATGTCTTACAGTGGAGATGTTACTACTGGCTATAAGAGAGGCGCTTTATTCTGTTCTCAGACTGATCATCTTATTTAAAGTATTTCATCAGCCTCTCCTGGCACGCTTCCTTTTGCTGATAGGCAAGTGATCCTGTAAAATCAGCAAAAAATGTATTTCTGAAAAAGCTAGGTAGGTTGGAATGAACTTCAGTTGTATAACATAGGATGGGAGATGTCTGAAAAAACGAGAACATTGCAGTTCTTCTTGGGGGTTCCAATTGCTTTATAGCCTTATATTTTAGATCTACAGTCTATATTTCGTCTTTCACTTTTTACCTTTCTTATCAAGTGGAGACGTTCCAGATCAGTTATCAATCATACTCGTGCCATTTTGATGTCATACGAGAAGATAAAAAGCTCACTTCAGTTTTGCTGGTGGCTGGTTGATCGATGTGAAACAGTTGTCCTTTGATAGTGACTAAAGCAAACTGCACGAAACTTCAACATTTCCAAACCCATTCTCTTTTTAGCTGCTTCCATTCTGCCACACTTCCATTGAGACTTAAGACTGGTGTATGCAAACCTACAGTCGGGTACAAAGTACTGTTGCTGTTCACAAGTTAGACCAACACCTTAGTTAGACATGTTAAACCTTTGCTAGAAGTTTGTTGATTAACAATCTTAAAAATAGATAATGTAGGAGACAATATAGCTATACGTAGCAATAGGTTGGCAGAAAATTTATAAAAGGTCCTTTCTTTTCTTGGCAATAATCCTCTACTGCCATGTACGATGTACAAATTAGACTTTTTTGGTCACCAATACAGATGCCTAAAGTACTGGGGCCAGATGATACTGAGGGCTCAGATTTGACCTCTCTTTTATTTGTAAGGTTACAACAGTCTGTACATATTAAGGTGATAAAGTTTAATATCTGTACAGTTTTCTATCAAAAATAGCCGAGCCACTACTAAAAAAAAAGCATGTGTACACACTTTATTAGTTGCTTCAAAGGTCAAAGATTATCTGTCCATCAAATCCAAAGTCAACGCAATAATATGTTTATTATAGAGAATATATATATATATAAAAAAACAAAAAACTTTTTTCCACCTTCAATGATGCAGGTCAACACACAATCATTTTTTTTAGATATTTTCTTATCAAACAAATGGAGAGTAATGTTTATTTTTTCTATGTGGTTTTTTAATTAGTCCATTGACCTTGCCTAAACAACACATACTGTTTACCTGATAAGGCCCTGCATGTCCTGACCTGACCCCAGCCTCATGATTTATACACTATTCCATGCCACACAGGCTTCCACCTTCATAAAACTGCTGTGCAGTACATTCCAATACGTGCAAGTACTTCATAACCAATCAAGGAGATACGGCTACTGCTGCCCCTGCCCCTGAGTTTTATTGACACACCATGACACTCAATGCTAACCTTGTCAAAGTAGATGTGCTGATGTAAGGTCACCAGCGTCCATGTTAGATCAGCAGTAAAACACCAGGATTGAATGGTTTTGGCATGTCAACACACATAGAGGTAAACCTGCACCCCACCCTGTAGAGTACCTTAATCTAATTTTAAATCCAGAGACGAGAAACACTCAATAACACCAGTGTAGGGTTAGAAAAACTGTAAAATACCCAGTTGCCTTCAGATACTTTTGTAACCAAGTGTGCTTTAGGCACAACAGCTGTCACAAATATCACATCGCACCCCGTTAAATCACTGGAAGTGTTTTCTAGCATAAATGTTGAGAGCGAATGAACCTTTGACCGGCACAGGTAAACAACTGCCAGCAGTTTCAATTAATGAGCTGTCAAGGCGCATCACTGAGCCATTGTGCAGAACTGCTTCGGGTAAAAAAAAAGAAAAGGTTTTGTGTCTATTTCAGTGACATTGTGCAGGTGTGTCATGATATGAAGAGAAGGTGTGCAAATCCTGTCACAACAGATCTATACTATTGCCTTTCTTTCCACAGACAATATGCAAAATACTACAAAAACTACAATACAAAATGTCACAATAAAACCGTTAAAGTGCAGCCATAATGCAAGCTTTATTTTCAAATTCATTAGGTTCAGAATGTTTTATTGAGGAAAGCTTTGATAAAAGGTGCAAACTCTGAGCTCTTGTTAGAAAAAAAAAAGAAGTTAGTTAAAGAGGCCTTATTATGCTTTTGGGGTTGGGGGGTTTCCCTTCCCTGTAGTTTGGTATATAGGTTTTAGTGCATGATGTAAATGGTCTTCCAAGGCTCAAATCCCTCTCCAGAGGAAGTTTTCTCTTTCCACAC